AGGCGCCTATTAATTGTATACAATCAAAGGCACCTATTAAATCCAAGTGTGTACCAGGATGTAATGATTATCTAAAAGATCATAACACAATTGCTCGCGATGCTTTTCTGTTATGGCGTAACAATGGAGGACCTCGGCAAGGTCCATTGTCTGATTTAATGCGTAAAACCCGAGCTAAATTTAAATATGTTTTGAGACTCTGTAGAAATAAAAAAAGCAATATGAGAGCTGATGCTCTTGCTAATAGTCACCTTGATAAGAATGTTAACTTGTTTTGGAAAAACGTGGGTAAGAAAAAGAAGTCTTCACAACATTCACTATCAATTGATGGATGTAATGGCTACAAGAATATTGCTAATATGTGGGGAAATCATTACGCAAATCTACTATCCTGTGTATCGAACAACAAGGACGAACAATATGTAAGAAGCAAACTTCAGAATGGAAACTCATCACAGGACATGATCGTACGTCCAACGGAGATTCAATGTAGCATACACAAACTTGTGGTTGGAAAATCGACTGGTCCTGATGGCATTTCTGCTGAGCATATTAAGCATGCACATGACCGTGTTCTAATTTTGTTTTCATTATTATTCACCGCGGTGCATTTTCACGGCTATTTACCGCCAAATATGTTAGAAAAAACGTTGGTGCCAATTGTGAAAAATAACAAGCCATGCATGGCACAGTCCCCGTTAGTTATCAAATTTAAGATATATAGTTTTGTTTATAGTAATATAGCTGGAATATAACCATGTCAGGAATATGATTTTTTAACATTAAAATGTATCTGATCGTCAAACAAGTACTTGTCCATATTGAGAGATATTGCTCTGGAACAGCATTCAAAATCAGCCATTTTGAATACATGAATATATATATAACATGATGTATAATGAATATATAAAATTTGAATATAATCAGTCAAAGCATTTAAGAGATATGGCTCTAGAAGCCCATTCATTAAAACAAAATGGCCGCCAGACAGCCATTTTGAATTCGATCTGAAAAATAAATAATGTGCATCAGGAACCTGTAATGTCTAATATATGTACCAAGTTTGAACGAAATCCATCCAGAAATGCCAGAAATGCTTGATATTTGATGTTTTTTAGCATAAAAATGGCCACCATTTGGCCATTTTGAATAGAATCGTCAAACCAATATATCTGTTTATCTATGAAATGATGTATAATGAATATTACAAATTTGAACATAATCAGTGAAAGCAAGTCAGAGATATGGCACGAGAACCACATTCATTAATACAAAATGGCCACCAGTCGGCCATTTTGAATCTTATCTGAAAAACAAAATTACTTGCATCAAGGTCCCATAATGTCTATGGTATATACCAAGTTTGAACAAAATCCATCTGTAAACAGCCGAGAAATGCTTGATTTTTAGCATTTTTTAGCACAAAAATGGACGCCATTCGACCATCTGGAATCAGATCGTAAAACAAAATGATGTGCATCAAGGTCCTATAATGTCTAATGTATATACCAAGTTTGAACAAAATCCATCTGTAAACAGCCGAGAAATGCTTAATTTTTAGGATGTTTTAGCACAAAAATGGCCGCCATTCGACCATCTTGAATCAGATCGTAAAACAAAATGATGTGCATCAAGGTCCTATAATGTCTAATGTATATACCAAGTTTGAACAAAATCCATCTGTAAATAGCAGAGAAATGCTTGATTTTGATGATTTATAGTACAAAAATGGCCGCCATCTTGAATCAGATCGTGAAACAAATTGACGTGCTTATGTATGATATCATATATGATGTATGTGTGAAGTTTGATTGCGATTGATTCAGGCATTTCTAAGATACAGGTCCGGACGCACGCACAGACGCATGCACGCACGCACGCATGCACGGACACACAGAGGTCAAAACATAAGTCCTCGTTTTCGGACTACGTCCGAACGGGGACTAAAAATGGTGATATTACTAGCACTGGAAATTATCGTCCCATTGCTACTGCTACTGCAATCTCGAAGCTGTATGAGAATTTGATTTTGGAGCGCTGTGGTCACACATATCAGTGGAACGACCTTTTTTGAAGCCTAATTGATGGTCACACACTGACCGTACTGATAAAGTACGATGGGGATCTACTTTCTCCAAAGTTTTCATACTTTAAATGGTATTCTATCACCACACCTGTTTACTGTTTACATAGATGGACTCAGCAACGAACTCGGCAATACGGGTATTGATTGCCATTTATCTGGAAAATGTCTTCATCATTTAATGTATGCAGACGACATAGTTTTAATATGCCCGTTCGTGAAGTGCTTGAATCGTTTGCTGACTACCTGTACTTATTTTGCCAACACTCATAACATCAAATTCAATACTGATAAAACGAAGTGTATGTATATACTGCCTCCTCGTAGTAGTATTACATGTATTCCTCATGTTTATCTAAATGGTACTAGGCTGGATTTCGTTAGTAATTATTTATACCTAGGAGTTATTGTGAACACATTAACCAATGATAGTTGTGACATGACGCGTCAAATGAAGTCTTTTTATGCAAGAGCCAACTATTTGGTACGTAATTTTAATAAGTGTTCTGTTCTGGTGAAGTTGACTCTATTTAAAACTTTTTGTACAACGATGTATTGTTTTCATTTATGGGCTGTATTTTCCAAAGCTAATCTGAATGCTGTGCGGGTTGCTTATAACAACGTTTTTCGCGCTATTTTTCATGTCAGTCGTAACTTGAGTATTTCTGAAACTCAGATTTTAAATGGTGTACCCACTTTTTTAAGTGTTCTGCGCAAGTCCAGAGCTGGCTTTTACACAAGATTGACTTCTAGTGAGAATTGTTTAATTGTGGCAGCCATGTCTACTGACATGTTGAAGGACAGCAACTACTGGAAAAGGGTCTTTTCTGATATTTATAAGGCACCATATTTCTAATGTCTGTTTTGCTGTTGTGTTTTTAGTAATTTTCAACTTTATGTTATGAGCTGATTCTCGAAATAAAAAAAAAAATCTTATTTATTATTATTTTATAACAATTATAAGAATGGTCATAATGGGGCATTTCTCAAACCACTTGATCAATGTTTCAAATTTGTAAGAGTCCAATTATTGTGTAACTTTTAAACTGTTCGGTTTCCTTTCTAGGATAGTGGATTAGTTCCAATTAGGCCAGACTTTTATTATTCCTTGTTTCGCGAACCCGCCGAATGAACAGGAATAAAAATAAAATTTTATTTCAGCGTAATTTCTTGCGCTGCCGACTTGTAAGCGCAAAAAATTGCTAAAAAATATTATTTTTATCTTAATTTTGTTACCGCCCGCCGCACAACAAATCCAAGTTGCATTTTCGAGGGAGTATCATGATCAAAGTACCGAAGTCTCGCGCAGATGAGAAACATGGTTATACATGGAATAAAATTGTATTTCATTTCTTCTCTCCGATCAATGATCTCACTTACATTTCGTTGAGAATCACACAAATCTAAATCTAAATCCATGTCCTGTAACCATGGCCATCATTATCCATTCTTTGTGTTTTATGTTAGGTCACAAGAGCCAGTTAATTGCCTAATTTGTTCTGTCATGGTAAGAAACACAATGGATGTGCAAATGCAGAGAGAGAGATGATGGAGAAATGTTGATTTATTAAATGTATATTTATATTCAACTGATATGGTAATAATTTATCCAATGATATCCAAAGATTTTGCAGTTACACAATCCAATGCTACATGGCCATTCATTTGAGTTGTTGGGTGTTGCTATCTTATCAATTATGGTTATTTCTGTTTAGTAAATCTATTTACAGATGGACAGATGCTATTTAGAACATATCCAGCTACAATATGTTAGATGATAAAATGATGGGTAAGTTATTATAATGTTAATAAAATAGGATTAATATAATGTTTCTCATTAATTCCATATCTTTAAGAGCCTTTTTTATATCTACCGTAATCCTTCTATCAGTACACTCTTTGGAACACCTGAATTGTTTCTAAAGTAGTTTTCTCTAGCAAGAAATAAAACTAGTTACACTTTTTTCTAAGTTTAGCTTCCATTTTCTTTGTTTGAAATTATATACATACATTTTTTAATTGAACACTTTTATTTAATCACTTATGAAAAATAGTTTGCATTTTTTTCAAACAATTCAGAAATATCCAAAAATAATTATTTTTTGATGGTACAAAGGATTACGGTATATTCTTTTTCTGAAGCTAAGGTGGAATTTATCTGTCATAAAATGCTACCAGGGCAGCCAATATTGCACCCTTCTACCAATGCATTCACTATTAAACCCTAATCCTTAATGTACAAAACAGGTTTACCCTTTCAGGATATTCTGATGTCTGTGATATCTGTGAATAAATTACATGCCAACTGAATTCTCTAGGAATAAATTGTTGTACTGATGTACCCATATAAAAACACTGCATAAATCATAAATATATACAACATATGTGCACGGAATAAATCAATGAGACAATACATGTATCAATAACACATTAGTTGGTGATTGTCAGTTCACTGTGAGATCTCAACAACATATGTGAAAAATAATTTCTTTTTTTATAGTTCTATGTCAAAATGCCAAGCTTCCAGACGTGAATTTTGCTTTGAGATACACTTACACATTATTAAATGTGGAAATGCCCAGAAAATAGTTTTGACATCACTACAACACTTTGACCGTTGTCGTGTTCACACACAATTACAGTGAATAGAAAATGTTATGATAAATAACAAAATAAAGAAATACAAACCTTGGGTGAAATTTCATTCATTCTAGAGTCATAATCTAGCATTTCATCGCTTGTATCACTATCCTCACTCTGGCAGTCTCTACTGGCACCATCATCAAATTCATCATCATCATCAACGAGTGGGATCTTCATAGGAGTGTCTGGTGGGGGTGGAGCTGATCTGACTGGGGGTGCTTGCGAAATAGGAACTGGTTGTTGTTCTCTGTGTCTTATGTTTGGATGAGCTGGCAGTGAAGGAAGTTGAGAAGAATAATGTGGTGGCTTGAGTACTTCGTAGTCATCGATACCTCCACTGGCACTACCATCAAATTCGCTACCATCAATGAGTGGGATTATCGTAGGATTGTCTGGTGGAGGTGGAGCTAGTCTGGCTGGGGGTGCTTGGGGAATAGGAACTGGTAGTGGTTCTCTTGGTCGCCGTCTGTTTGGAAGGGCTGGCAGTGAAGGAAGCTGGGGAGGCTTGTGTGGTGGCTTGAGAACTTCGTAGTCATCAATATCTCCACTGACACTACCATCAAATTCATTACCAATTCTGAGTGGAATCATTGTAGGAGGGACTGGTGGAGGTGGAGCTGGTCTAGCTGGGGATGCTTGAGGAATAGAAACTGGTCGTGGTTCTTCAAGATATATAGAATCAACTCTTGGAGGGGGAGGAGGTGGTAAATTATCAATATCTATTACCTCTTTCACAAATGTTTGCAGTGGTGTTGGATCTTTACAAGCAAATGGTGGAGGGGGAGGAGGACAATCAGGTGGTGGTTTACTACTCCTGCATGAATCTTCCATGTGTATAGGCTCAATACTATCCAACAAATTAATTGTATTGTACGGCTCTTGCGGTGAGGGCAACTCTACAGCAATAGAATTTCTCAGATTTATTAGGTCTGATGTTTTCCTTGGTGTTACAGGCTGTGCCCTGTTTCTTGTTTTATTAACCAAAATGTCATAGGCAGTTCCATCAACATCAAATTCTGGATTAGTGTCCTCTATATGAGATTTTCCCATTGAAACATAATCTTCACCATCAGAGTCACTTTTATTCTTTAATGCTGACAAGGATGTACTGTTGCCTGGTGATGGTCCAAAGGCCATTGATGGATGCCCAATAGCTGTCATCTCGATGGGTGAGGGTCTAGAGGCTTGCATGTTGCCAGGTGAAAGCCCAGAGTCTGTTATATTAACTGGTGGTGGGCCAGAGTCTGTCATGTTGCCAGTTGATTGTCTAGAGGTTGTCATGTTGTCTGGTATTATTCCAGAGATTGTTGTGGTGCCTTGTGATGGCCCAGAGGCTCTCATGTTTATTGGTGGAGGTCCAGATATTGGTCGTGGTGGGATGATATCAAGAAATTTAGTCATGTTGCCTACTAATGGTCCAGAGGTTGTTGTGGTACCGGGTGATGGCCCAGAGGCTGTCATGTTGCCTGCTAATGGTCCAGAGGTTGTTGTAGTACCTGGTGATGGCCCAGTGGCTGTCATGTTGCCTGCTAATGGTCCAGAGGTTGTTGTCGTACCTGGTGATGGCCCAGTGTCTGTCATGTTGCCTGCTAATGGTTCAGAGGTTGTTGTCGTACCTGGTGATGGCCCAGAGGCTGCCATGTTGCCTGCTAATGGTCCAGAGGTTGTTGTCGTACCTGGTGATGGCCCAGTGTCTGTCATGTTGCCTGCTAATGGTCCAGAGGTTGTTGTCGTACCTGGTGATGGCCCAGAGGCTGTCATGTTGCCTGCTAATGGTCCAGAGGTTGTTATCGTACCTGGTGATGGCCCAGAGGCTGTCATGTTGCCTGCTAATGGTCCAGAGGTTGTTGTCGTACCTGGTGATGGCCCAGAGGCTGTCATGTTGTCAGGTGTTCGTCGAGAGGATGCTGTAGTACCTGGTGATGGCTCAGAGACTCTCAGGTTTATTGGTGGAGGTCTAGAAATTGGTTGTGATGGGATGATATCAATAATTTTTGTAGTATCTTCACAGGATTTCAAAGTATCTGGAAGTACTGCAGGACTTGAAGTTGAATTATTATCCATGATGGGCGTTGTTCTAACAGGAGGTTTAGGTTTTGTCTTAGCTGGTAGGTCTGGTGTCTTTTCACTTGGAATCTGAATTACTGACTCTTTGTTACTAATTTGTCCATTTGAAATAGATTGTGTTACAGGTGTCTCTACAGGTCTCATACCAATACTTGGAGGTCTAGGAGGCACATCCGGTTTTTGTTTTAGCGTTTTCAAACTGGGCTCACAGCTAGACATTGGGGCAGGATAATCAAGGTCTGGTTTTATTTTGCGCATTCTTGGTTGAGGAACAGGGTGGGGCTTTGCCGAAATATCATGTTTTACAGGTGGTATTAGAAAATATTTTTTTTCATCAAATTCAGGCATCTGGATTATTGATGTTGTATCACCAGATCCTTGAGGATATGATTGACGAGAACCACTCTCGTCAATCATATCAGACATATCTTGTTGTATACTCTGCAAAGCATCCACAGGCAAATTACGTAATATCCTCTTTTGATGACCTCGCTTAATCACACCAAGTTCTTGTAGCTTGTCTTCATTCAAAGTACAGCAACTTTGTAAATTAGTGAAGCCATTCTGTTTAAATGCATCTGCATATTCTTTCAATTCAAGGCCTTCTAGAAACGTATCCACTTCACTGGCCATTGCAAATATATATGTCGAATAAAACCTGGGAATATAGATAAAAAAATAAAAAAATTCTGAGTGCCCTCAAAAGATTGTACACAAGGTGACTTAAACAAAGACACAGGCATAAGTGTTCTATGATGTTTTCAAAATTGAAATTAAATTGATCAGTTCAGTGCAGTAATACCTACAGCGTTTTTAAACAAGCAGCCTGTCGGCTGAGATAGCTCCGCTGTTAGCAATGCACATTTCAATTAAAGAACAGAAGATATCATTAGAAAATGAACAATATGTATAGTATCAAAGCAATGGGACTTTGGGATTTAAAAATATCACTTTTCACCAAAAATGACAAAAACAATCATCACAAGTCATTGAAAATGACACAGTCCCCATTAAGTTCTCTTTGTGTTCGTCATATTAAAGCGGAGGGGTTGTCGCGAGCATGTCCTTGAAACTTGAGTTCCAAGTGGCGTATACGACAGATTGTTTATTTACATCAAAACACATGTTTCATGTCATAGTAATATGGCCAAAATAAAAATAGTCGTTATTCAGCCAACTTTGATCTGATTATGAAACACACTGATATGTATGATGTATGTGCCAAATACGAATGAAAATGGTACATAAATTGTGGAAATATAGTAGTAAGGCCAAAAAGTCAGATGGCTGTCAATCGGCCATCCTTGACCAGATTTTGAAATGAATTGTCATGGACATGCATCCTAACATGTACAAAGTACATGTATGTGCCAAATTTGAATGAAAACTGACAGAGCACGTCCAAGATACTGCATAAAAAAACAAAAACAAGATGCCTGCCAGTCGACCATCTTTGATCCAATTGCAAAATAAATCGCCATGGACATGTATCCTAACATGTATAATCTATGTACCAAGTTTGAATGACAACTGACAAAGCATGTCCAAAATACAACATTTTCAAAAAAAAAGATGGCTGCCAGTCGGCCATTTTGAATTGAATCGCTAAATCACTGCATGTGCATATGTCCCACATAAAGTACTAGGCACATGCAAAGAATGAACAGAATCGGTCCAAGGGATTCTGAGATATGACTCCGGACGGACGCACGGACATACGGACGGACGGAGACTGAATTATAAGTCCCCGTTTTTGGACTTCGTCCGAATGGGGACTAAAAATTACATAATTGAAGATATCACCACGAAATTAACAAATCTGTAAGAGGTCCACATGTAGTACCTATATATGTAATATAAAAACAATCAGATTTGCGATTTTCAACAAGAAGTCAAAAATATCACTTTTTACCAAAAATGACAAAAATATTCACCAAAATTAGAGAATTGAAGATATCATCACAAAATGAACAAATCTGAGAGAGGTCCACATGTAGTACCTATATATATAATATCAAAGCAATTGGACTTGCGGTTTTTAACAAGAAGTCGAAAATATCACTTTTTACTAAAAATGAAAAAAATATTCACCAAAATTAGAGAATTGAAGATATCATCATGAAATGAACAAATCTAAGAGAGGTCTACCCCAAGTACATACACACCTAGTATCAAGACATTCAGGCTTATAGTTTTCAAGAAGAGAAGAAGTCAAAAAAGTAAAACATTGACACGGACGATGACGAACAATCACTCGTATGATAAGCCCCGCTCAACACAGTCGACAGCGGAGCTAAAAAAACAAACAAATGGCAGTTGGTCCTTCAGAATGAGATCCATATTTATTTATTTAATCACTTAACATCCATTGGAATGGATGATAATGAAGACAATACACACAAAAAACAAGAAGGTACATGTATGTAAACATCAAAATGCTTCTGAAATAAATACCTATTTACCACAAAAGGTATTTTAATGACATTTTTTTTCTTGAAAGTTTTTTGCCACCCACGTGAACAATCCAAAATGCAGATGCGAGAAAACAGTTCGCCAATTCAACTTACATTCCAGGCAATTTAATGGAATACTCGGGCTTGATTGCTGGATTAGACATGATATCTTCTTGTCTCTTCAAATTACTATGATACAGAGGATTTTACTTATCGTACTTGAATGATTAGACAGATTGAACCATACAGATTTAAATGTAAAATCAAGAGGCAATTTTTGACTGCCAGTGAAACTGAAATAATAATTTTAAGTAGTGACCAGAGTCTTGGAAATAAAGTAATGAAATTTTAAATTCACAAATCAGACCTCAAATAATTCATGAACAGTTTGAAATAAGCAGAATACAACTTATTGTTTTGTTTTATTTTGGTGCATTTTTTTGTCCTTGGTTTACTTGAAATTGTAAACATATATATATACTTTATTGACATCATTCTGTTTGAAGAGAACATACAGTCAAGTGCTAAACTAATAATTAAAATTAAAAAAAAAGGAAGAAATTATTATGTAGTTTAAATAAATACATATTTAAAATTATGAAATATTGATATATATATTTAAAATGCACCACATTCTCTAATATAGTTCTCTAATTCTCTAATATATTTGTAAACATACAAAAGAATTAGCATAATATGCAGACTTGACTTGCGTGGCATCTATGTGCCCTCAGAATGTACCTGCTCACACAATATGGCATCTGTGTACCTACAATTCGCCCTCAGACAAGTTTTCGAGGCATCCATAAATAAATGAAATATAATCAAGCTTGCTGTGAACCAAAATATAATTTAGCCAAAGACAATTTGTATGAAGTGCCTGTCAAGCTGGTAAATACAATAAACTGAAATTTTCATGTTCTGATTGAGTTCATTTGTTTTTGAAGCACATTTTGTAAAACTTTCATTGTTTGTTTGGCTGACCAGGAGAAAGTGTCTTATTATACACAGTACAATTTTCATGGCCTTAGTCCATACATACAGTAGTTTTGGACCAGTTGGAAATGAATATAACATCATTGTATTTTGTGCTGCATTGCTACAATTTCTCACTAGACACTGCCTGACCATGTATACAATAAAAACAATAAATGTCCTTTGTGTATACAATTATATAACTTTACTAATCTTTGCTCAGCTAAAACATAACAGGGTGTGGACAAGAAGCAAGACAAATTTCAGTTTCCTGAGCGAATATTTTTGTAAATTTTTATTTTAAATTCATAATTTTCAAGGAAACAGATGTTGGAGCTAGATCTAATTTAAAATCAGAAGGTATTTCGGAAGCACTTGTAACCATCTCAAAACACCCATTGTCACAGTGTCACAGTCCCTGTTATTTGATTATAAAGTAGTACAAGGAACATCTGCAAACAGGTGAATAAATATGTACTCTTTGTGGGTACAACTCATCATAAAATGATTTCCCATAATCTAGTTTTGTACTGACAACCAAAAACTTCCACTGACCCATGTTCAGAATCTCAGAGTACACAAGTGCAACAAAACTATTTGTCATACATGTATACTTGCTCAAGAAACTGCATTCATAAATTTGAGTGAACCTTGATGTACATGACTTCTTAGTTAATTCTGGTCTTAGTATATTACCAGGACCTGGGTTTGTTTCAACATCACCACTGGGCATCAGAATCATTCTCATGTTGTCAAATACAATTTGTTATTAACACAGTAAGGTTTATTATTTAAAATGTATTCATTGTACATAGAACAACATCTGTTAATTTAAGCAATTTTAAAAGCTATGTTATCAGAGCAAGTACATGTAATAATTAAGAAAGCCAGTAAAGGTTGGTCTGCTCATAACCTTCAATGGAGAAGTACCGGTAACAATAATTGTTTGAAGTCTTTTTAGTGCAGTGATATTATTGCATTTCAATCATTATTAATGGGTATAAAATACTGTAAACCATTTAATTTTCACTTCTAGATATATTCAGGATTTTATGAAATTTGTTTACAACATTTCATTAAAGTTCACTGTAAAAAAAAAAAAAAAAAAAAAGTTTAAAATGAGTATAGTCAAAGATATGCACATGTGGGTTCATAAGACATATGTACCAATGTGAGTGGTTCTAGAGATTAGTATCACAAGATTTTACTCTCTGTGATTCAATATCAGCTCTATGTATAACGCTGTATTGATCAGGCGAACTAATTGACAATGGCCCAACAGGCATCGCTATGCAATCACAGTAGTTTTGTATTCTTCTAGCATTTCGACCATGAAAAAATAATTGTTTTTGGGAGTGGCCGAATTATTAGAAGAAAAACAGAAACTATTTTTTTTTAGTATAAATTCTAGTAACTGAAATACAGGATTGAAAAACAAGACAATACGCAAGATTGATAAACCTTCATCGAGCACTCCTGAAATTTCAGATCATTGGTACCATGTTTTTGGATACATTCAATGACGTGATACATAAAACCACATTTTTTATTGCTCAATCACTTGACCCTGTATGGCACAAGATCGCAATCTTCTATCATAAAATTGGGTTATTTATTTGATGCAACGAAACATGCATTCACAGCAGACGGAAATTCGTTTGAGATGTTACTGGATTTTTGTATTCAGTTTTCCATTTCAACCACCATCATCACTTAGTAAGCTGAGATTGCGCATTGGGATACTGACTGTGCATAAATGTGCAGTGTAGTGCCACCAGAAGTCTAATTGCTTGAGAATATTTTGCACCATTACGCCATTTCAATTATTATATTAATTCACAGACAACAAAATAAAGATTTTCAATACTAGTAACATACAAGTTTTCCCACAGTTGATGATTGTATGGCACTTACATGGCTTCGCTAGTTTTACTTTAGAAAAAGTTGGAAACAGATAACAGGAAGGGGCTACATGGCTAAATCTTTTTTTTTTGAATTTTAATCAAGCATGATCTTTTAATTTTTTTTTCACAAATGTCTATTTCAGGGCAACAGAAACAAAAACAATAAATGTGTAGGTAGGCATTTTAACAATTGCACAATTAATATTGGATGAAAACGTCATTACCGATATAAATCATAATTCTGTTCAAACAATTAAAAATAAGATCACATTAAATTTAGTCAGTTTTCATAATGAAATACATAATAACATGTACTTATAAATTTG